TTCATTAAATGAGCGAGTCTGTACATACAATTTCTTCATATAAATTTGGCGACTTAGGAGACTGACTAAATGAGCGAGTCCGTGCGTTCAATTTCTTCATATAAATTGGGCGACTTAAGAGACTGACTAAATGAGCGAGTCTGTAAATACAATTTCTTCATATAAAATTGGCGACTTAAGAGACTGAATAAATGAGCGAGTCTGTACATACAATTCCTTCATATAAATTTGGCGGCTTAAAAGACTGATTAAATGAGCGAGTCTGTACATACAATTTCTTCATATAAATTGGACGACTTAACAGACTGATTAAATGAACGAGTCTGTACATACAATTTCTTCATATAAATTTGACGACTTAAGAGACTGACTAAATGAGCGAGTCTGTATATACAATTTCTTCATATAAATTTGGCGACTTAAGAGACTGATTAAATGAGCGAGTCTCTACATACAATTTCTTCATATAATTTTGGCGACTTAAGAGATTGACAAAATGAGCGAAAAAATGGAGGTGGCAGAGGCATCAACAACAAATTTATAACAACATTACCCTACTTAAAAAAGCATTGAGAATAGGAGAAGTATAGAGGTTGTGTATGTAACGAACACGACGCTACTACTAAAGTAGATTTTACTCTCAGATAAATTTAAAAATTACATTTATAAAAATATATGCAGGAATTTAAATTTTGATCTTAGTAAAACAATTCGCAACTTTTCATTCCAACTTTTATCATTAAACTTATTTGACGTAGATTCTTGTAGATTCTGTCTCTTATAGGTGGACTAAATTAATGTAAAAAAATAATTGAAGTGTTACTCTTATAGCTCCTCCAGTTGCGTTTCTGTCGTTTGTCGCACACACGAATTGTATAAAAATCAAATTTAAATTTAGATAAATATTCTTTTTTTTCTGTTATTGCAAAGAAAAAAATCAACACAAGACAGCCCACAAGAAAAGCAATCTTATAAAGAAATAATCACTTTAGAGCATGTAGTTCCAAGTGCTTCTTTGTACACGCATATATGCTGTGACGAGTTTTCTTGGGCGGGGTATAACTCAGCCACTCCAAGGTTCGTCGCAAGAATATTTATACCAATTAACATTTACTGGACCTTTGGTACTGATGTTCTTTATTTCGCATTCGCAGGAGTGTAGCGTTGTGTAGATGTCGGCGAGGTACAGGAACCAGCGAGGCGACCCGACTTTGTCGCGTTATTACCGTTTTACTTTTTACTCAGGACGTTAGAAATTTTTCCGTTTCGCTTTTAATATCGCGAAAGGAGAAAAAAAACCGGATACTTTGCCAGTGCCATAGCTGCCTTGGCTCTCTGGGCCGACGGATTGGGTTTGATTTGGTCCTTCATGTGTACCTAACCAGGTTCCCCAGTCTTTCAGGGATGACGACTAACACCTAGCCAGTATATCCCCTATCCGTAAAGTCAAAAAAAAGACTTGTCGCATTGTCCGTACCCACTTATCTTCAAGCAGCTATGACACCGAAATGAAAGAATCTGCGCGATGTGCTGCTCTTTTAAAGTTGCGGTCTCGCTCGCTTGTCCTATCGTCAACATGTTCAATGTGTTTACATATGCTTATGTGTATGCTTAGCTTATGTTGGTTGCAGTCGCAACCTTAGTTACGACTTGCATGATCCTGCTTATACATAACTCAATACCAACTTACGTCTAGCTTATTACTAACTTTGTTCAAATGTCTACTCGATAGGCACTCAGGTACCAAATCGCGTGATTCAGCTACCGTTAGGTACGTGAGTGCTTGTACCTTTCTATGCCTTTGTGTATGCATATGCTTGCTTGGTGTGTTTCTTTATGCGTGGCATTTGTGATCATATCTTTGTGCATTTTATGTATGCTGTTTATGCACTGTCGTATGTTCTTATTGTTTCTTTTCTACCTAAGTACTTATACCCTAACGGTGCTGTATAACTTTGTACTTTGCTTGAACATTTTATCTGACCTAATGGTGCTGCATAACTTTGTGCTTTGCTTGAACATTTTATCTGACCTAACGGTGCTTTTGGAGTAATGTATAATGCTCTACGCGTTTTGTGTCTTGCTTGCATGTGTTTATATATTTTATACGTGGATGTTTGTTCATATGGATGTTCATGGATGTTGAGACACATGTGTAAGTTTCCCTTTTTTTTGTGTATGGCCTACCGTTTACTTTTAAGTGCATTGTTGTGGGTTTATACAAGGGTATGTGTTCCTATGGGTTAGCTGACCTGTGTTTATAATTCTTCTCTTTACAATACGTTTGGTGCTGGAGTGTGTGTTCTTATGATTTGCTAACATAGGCCTGTACAATATGTGTTTATAGATTTTCTCTTATAATACATTTGGTGCTGGAGTGTGTCTTAATGATCTTGGATGACGTGGGCCTGTACAATATGTGTTTACGCATCTTCTCTTTATAATACATTTGGTACTGGAGTGTGTGTTCTTATGATTTAACTCTTTACAAGGTATAGGCATATTTAGTGCGCGTTTTTATGATTTAATGCACTTGATGTTGGGGGAGGCTGCTCGTGTATTGTTCACAGAACGATGTGCGTGGACAGATCGGGCTTGCTGACTGCGAAGTGCGGGTGGACTTTTGAGCGGACGGACTTGTATTTCGTAAGGAAGCAAAAACGCTTCCTTACAATGCGTTTAGTCAGATGAGGGCGTCACAGAAGGTAATTTTACAGACACTAAGAAAAAGTGAATAAAAGAAAGTGAGCAAAGTGATAGGAATTTTAATTTTATTTAGTTACATATATAACACATATATAATATTAAAATATTTTTATAAATTTTCTATTCATTTTTAGATTCTTGGTCAATGGTACGAGGTAGAACATTCATTCTATCTACCCGAAATTGCTTCGGGCTGCACCACTTTGGAATTTCAGCCTTTAAACCGACAAGAATTATCCAGTTTTAATAATTTTAAGTTAGAAGTGGCCATAAAAACAATTAATAGATTGTTAGTAATTGTTGAGCTTAGTTCTACAAATTTTTTAGCTAGAATCATTTTCTTTTCATATCTTGTAGAACTGGAAATCCGTCAGTAAATCTGGGCTACGCTACACCAGAGAATTTCAAATCTTCCATAATGGATTTTAAGGCAATTATTTATTCTCATTTTCTTTAATTATTAATTTTGTTACTTTTTTTATTATTTGTCTAGTTTCACACTCGTTTTCCTGAAGTTATAGCCCGTCTTTTGCCTGGCTCTGGCAAATATCAAATCTTATATACGGATTATGATAATTTTGCAATTTTATGGTCTTGCGGTAGTTTGGGCTCTCTAGGTTACGTCGATCAGATTTGGATTTTTGGTCGAGAACGTGATTTTCCTTTCGAAATACGTTCTAAAATTTATGATGCCCTCAAGCAACTAGGATTAGGACCAGATCGTTTAGTATTAACCAAGAATAAGGATTGTCCAAAAAAGTTATAATGTCCCTACTCCGATGTTTTCGTTTAAATATAAAAAACCTATCTACCATTTTTGTCACACGTACACACCTTTGAAAATATATATATAAAATCTGCGCAGCAATTTGAGACTCTGGTTTATAAAGTCAATATTGCTTGCATGAAGACCGTCTAGCAAAATAAATCGTGTATATAAGAATTTAATATTTAAGATTCTGTGATATATGGAAACTTTTTCTTTTAATTGGCAAAAACATATAAATTATATTTTATTGAAAATATTTAAAGTTTAAGAAGATATTTAAAAGCTGCTGAAGATTACAAACTCCTCTCATACACTGTAAAGGTTAAAGAATATGCGTTCAAATTTTCGTACATTTATCTGCTATAGTTTAGGAAGAAAGAACAAAAAATCTATTTTCCATTCCGTTTGAAAGACAGAGAGGTTCTCGGTTTACGTGTCGCTGTGGGCGTGTTCTTCGACCGATCCGGTCCATTTTCAGTACTAAGCTGTGTGCAAGAATTTCCTATTTTTTGTCAAATTTGAAAGCGATAGCTTCATTTTGGCAAATGAATGGACAAAATTGGAACGTATATTCTATACGTGATGCCTTAGCATTTGTGCATAAAAATTAAAAAAATTGACCAGGCCTACTCAATATTATAGTGTATCAAAAGTGAATTATGTTTTCAATGCCTTTATAACACTAGGAAACAAGTTTCAAACACCCCATAAAGTATGCAAATTCTCGGTCAGTTTCAAATTTGGAATGCACCTAAACATGTCCGCCCACATGCCTCTATTGCAAAAACTTTTATTTTGAAAATAAAAGAAGAGAAGAACGCCCACTCCACCTTATAGAAAGTGAAAATTTTATTCTTTTACTTCCTCTGTCTTTCTTTGAGTTAAATGCTGACTGTTATAAAAGGTTCGGTTCCGACCGAATTTAATTTTCTTACTTGATTTTGAATGAGACAATTTGAAATAAAATAAATAAATTGATGTTTGATGTTGAAATAAAATAAATAAATTGATATTTGTTAAATTTTCAAATTTTAGTTTTATTTGGCTTTTGGAAAAAATAAAGAAATTTTATGTAAATAGAGAATTATGCTACAAGTGTTTTGAGCAAAAAATAAGTGAAAATTTTGAGGGAGAATTTTTCAGAGTTTTTGTTCACTTTTATCAAAAAATATATGTATTTTGCTCATTTTCAGACTAGCGTGAATTGATTTTGCTCATTTTGACACACACACTGGTTGACTTTGCTCACTTTCAGAGACCTGTCGATTGGTTTTTGGTAATTTTGAGAGACCTGTCGATTGGTTTTTGCTCACTGTAAGAGACCTTTGGGCTCAATTTTTATGCTATAGATGTTTTTTCATGGTAGAGGGCTTGCATTTATCGGAAACAACTCCCCGATGAATATATGGTGGTGGGGAAAAATGAGACAATTTGAATTAATTAGAGAATTAAGAAGAATAATAATAGAAAAAATTGAAAATTGTCTAAGTAAAATAAATAAATAAATAAATTGATATTTATTAAATTTTCAAATTTTAGTTTTATTTGGCTCTTGGAAAAAATAAAGAAATTGGAGTAAAAACAAAAAAAATTTTGAGGGAGAATTTTTCAGCGTTTTTGTTCACTTTAATTAAAAAATATATGTATTTTGGTTATTTTCAGACTAGAGTGGATTGTTTTGGTTATTTTGACACACACACTGGTTGATTTCGCTCACCTTCAGAGACCTGGCGATTGGTTTTTGCTCACTGTGGAGGACCTTTGAGCTCAATTTTTATGCTACATTTATTGAAAACAAATCTGCAATGAACATATGGTGGAGGGAAAAATGAGACAATTTGAGTTAATTAGAGAATTAAGAAGAATAGTAAGAGAAAAAATTGAAAAATGTCCAAGTAAAATATATAAATAAATAAACTGATATTTGTTAAATTTAAATTCATTAAAAACAAGAATATATTTTTATAACCCTTTTTCCTATTTTATTTATATAATACAAAATTAGGATCGACTTGCAATTCATATTCAATATCATAAAATAAACATGGATAGGATATAAAATGGACAAAAAACAAGTTGAAATACTTCTACAAATTTGGCATTATTTATAGCGGCGGACGTGTTACCAGTTCCTAAAGCGAAAATTGCAGATAGAACAGTAAGCGTAGCATTCACTGCTCTATTCCAATCAATCTTCATATAAATTAGAAATATAACGCTTAAAACTTGTAGTCTAATGAATTGAGAATAACTTACTGAGGAGTCTAATTTTATATTTTTCCACAAGACTTGCGTATAGGAAATAACTTGGAGATATCCACATAACCCATTGTTCATAACTTTTAAGACTATTAACACTTGCGGTGAAGTTCCGGCCTAAAAATATAGCGGCTCTTGTGTGCGGTGTTACCGGAGGATAATACTTCAGCATTTGGTATTTAGGTGTATCATAAGATGATTCTGCCGCAAATTTGTAGTAACCGAAACAACAAAATAAAATATAACTATAGCCAAAAGCAGGTACTTACTTTGACTCATCAGCTTTTGGTCTTTTCCTCATAAACGATCGTGCTCCTCCTTCGCCGTTTTGCGTCTTTCGAATGATTGGCCGAAATGAGCGCGAGACCATTTCATCGAAATTGTACATAGCTGTTCGCACCGCACTATCTAGCCACAAACTTTTCGGGTCAAGTGTCGTATGAACATTAAACCAGCACAATTATTTCCTAGGACTACCTAAAAAAGTTATATAAAAATAATACCATTCGATGAACTGACAAACTCGTATTTGACAAAATCTTTTACGCTTCTTTAAATTTGCTTGAGATGTTGATTATGAAAGTCTTTCAGACGAATATAATTTTCTTACTTGCTTTCATTATAATTATTAACCCTTTCATCGAAAAACAATTACTATCAATTTTTAAACTTCTTATTACTTCATATAGGATACGTGTAAGAACCGGTAAGAAAATCAGAAGCATTGAAAAAGCCTATGTAGTTCAGGAAATTCCGATACATCAAACGTATACAACTAGTATAAAGCCACACCCACAATCGACACAGGACCAAATTGCGAACGAACCCCTAAGCCATCGGAACCATGCATAAGATTGGCAAACGATAATTGTTAACAACAATTAATTTTCAACTCATAATGACATTTTAAGGTTAAAAGGTAGTTCAAGTACGACATAGGCAAATCGCGCGTATTGAGCAATGTTGCTTTAATGGACTTTAAAGAGCCCGTTAAAGAGAATAATTGATAGACGTCATTTAGGTTCTTGCAAACAACGCTGAGCGGGTTAA